GAAGTCAGTGGGAGGTTTAATCTACTTTGTTGATAGTTTTTGTATATTGCCCACAGTGGGTATTAGCAGGTTGACGCTGGTACATTTCCTGCCTCCCTTTCGTAGTTCCTGTCCAAAGGCACAGAGTGCCGTGAGCGGGCCAGTGAGTGCGACCTCCCTGAGTTCTGCAATGGAACTTCACAGTTCTGCCCTCCAGACGTCACCATTGAGAACGGGCACCCTTGCCACAAAGACGAGGCTTACTGCTACAACGGGCTCTGCCAGTATTACAATGCCCAGTGCCAGGGCATCTTTGGGCCAAGTAAGGAGCATGAGGATCTGCGTTATGTTTGCTTCTCCACAAGGAACAGCTAGCAGACATTATCCTAAGGGATTGGGAACTGCCTCTGGATGACAAATTCTGTTGCTTTTCTGCAAGGCTGGGATCAAGGGACAGCGCAGTTGGGCATCTGCTGAGAGCCCCCCCCCCAAGAGCCCCCTGGGCCTGCTGCTTCTTTTCACCTGCTTGCTTGTTCATCTTCTTGCTCTGGCTCAGACAGTTGTGGTGGGAAGGAGGAGGAGGAGCAACAGCAGCGAGAGGCAGTTGCTGCCGGCTTGCTCACTGGCTCTCTGCAGTAAGCAAGCAGCAGGAGGAGGAGGAACAACTGGAGGTGATAAGGGTAATGAGGTGGCAGACGCAGTGAGGGAGGGGGCCATCGGAGGCTATCTTGCCCTCCCCACCGCAACCTGGAGCACACATTAGTTGTTTTATTTTATTTATTTATTTATTTATTTATTTATTTATTTATTATTATTATTATTATTATTATTATTATTATTATTATTACTATTTCTTCTTGATGCAGAAAATGGGTCTTCTGTTACTTTATGCTGCTGGTCCTGCCAGAAGGCTAAAGGAGCTTGGCAAGCCTGATTTCCCAAATCTGTGTTTTGCAGAAGCAAAGGCTGCTCCCCAAATCTGCTTTTCCGAAGTGAATTCCAAAGGTGACAGGTTTGGAAATTGCGGTTACCATGGGCATGACTATAAGAAGTGCTCGAGCTGGTAAGTGGGTGCGGCAAGGAAAACCTGGTCACCTCCAGACTGTCGGTGCCTTAGGGGGTGGATTAAGTCACATGCTGAAAATGTAGGTTTGCACAATTAAAATAGCTTAAAGTGCTCTGTTGTTACGAATCTACTTTAGAAAGCAACAACACAGACTTTTTTGTGTTTAGGAAAGTGACAGGGAAAGCATGAAAAGTGAAACAAATGAATGATTAACATATAACCACTGCGCAAACAAATCAAGATGAAATCATGATGAATGTTCATTGTCCTGTAACTGCCCACAAACAAAATAAGAATAAATGCTCAACAAAGCCTGGACATAATCTGACTTCCACAAAAGGTTCTTTTATGCAAGCAAATCAAAAAGATTGCTCAATAAGCAGCTTGTCAAAAGAAGCCTGCTCTGCAGAGCTGCCCCCCCCATGCACAATCAATTCACACATGATCGTGTCTACGTGTTGTGCCAGAAAATAAATAAATAACTTGAATGAAACCTGGAAATGGCAGGAGAGGGCTGGAGAGTCCTTGTGGCTCATGAGGAAACCCTCCCTGAAGCCTGAAGAGGACTTCAGTGAGGGTACGGGAAGCCCCAAAGAGGTGCAGTGGGCCTTTTTCCCCGGCTGCTCAGCCTGCCTGCCTAATAGCTGGTACGTGCCCAGATGACAAGACCCCCTTTCTAGGCCTTGCTAATGTGGTCCAAAGGAAAGCAAATCAAGGTATTTGGCACCAACTGGGCTGCAGCAGTTGCTTGAAGGAGGCGTACAAGGCGCCATCCAAGGTTTACTCCTGAGCCTGTCCCACAAGCAGAGGCAGAGGCCTAGGATCAGAGTGTTTCTTCTCCTAGATGAGCTCACTTTCCCAGGTGGACGGGCCCCAACTGCCCCTGTCCTATTCATTCATATTGCATTTGACAGATAAGGGCAGGAATCACTATCCTGGTGCCCTCCAGATGTTTTGGACGACAACTCCCAGCACTGCTGACCATTGGCCATGTTGAATGGGACCGATGGGAACTGTAGTGCAAATGTCTGGAGGGCACCATGTTGGCTTCCCCTGCATTAGGGCCATGCATTTCTCCCCCATCCTTTCATTGGAGGAGCGTGATGCTTTGCCAAACCCACTATGTCATTAATACGTTTTGCACAAACAGATGTTTTCCTTATGATTAGCCCACAATTAGCATCCAGGAGTGTATATTTCCTTTGATCCTACTAAGCCTCAAAAAACCTAAGTCAATAATGATCTGTGCATACTTTCAGAAATTAACTGTCAGTGATTTAAGTTGCCATGCCATATTGCCACAGGAACGCCATGTGTGGGAAACTACAATGTGAGAATGTGCAAACCCTTCCTGTCTTTGGAATTGAACCTGCCATTATCAAGTCTCCCATCCAAGGTAACACCTGTTGGGGTGTGGACTTCCAGCTGGGATCAGACGTACCAGATCCAGGGATGGTGAACGAAGGCACCAAATGTGCCCCTGGAAAGGTAAAGCAGGAAAGTTCTCAGGTGGACCATTGTTTTTTGTTTAATGTATTTTTATTAAAGATTTTCTTGATTTTAACCTTTAAAGCCCTATACGGCCTAGGACCCTTGTACCTACGGGACCGCCTCTCCTGGTATGTCCCACAGAGAAATCTACGGTCTGCAAATAAAAACATCCTAAAGATCCCAGACCACAGAGAGGTTAGGCTGGCCTCAACTAGAGCCAGGGCCTTCTCGGCCGCGGCTCCAATCTGGTGGAACGCTCTGTCACAAGAGACTAGGGCCGTGCAGGACCTGACATCCTTCCGCAGGGCCTGCAAGACAGAGCTGTTCCACCAGGCCTTTGGTCAGGGCGCAGCCTGACCTCCTCCTCTGGCAATCGGCAATCTGCACAGAATTTTGCTTGATGGTTGCCATTAATTTGACTTTAATTTGATTTGATTAATTTTATAATGAATGTTTTAGAATGTTGTTAGCCGCCCTGAGCCCAGCTTCGGCAGGGGAGGGCGGGATATAAATAAAATTTATTATTATTATTATTATTATTATTATTATTATTATTATTGATTTACAAAGGTATGTGCAATGTCTCTCTTTCATATTTTTTTCCACATAATACTTTCCTTCCTTTTCTTTTTTACAAATTGGTTTCATTTGTTGAGACATTAGGAAGAATAGGGGGAAAGAGGTGGAGGGGGGAAAGATGGGTGGGGGTGGGGTCGGGTGGTGATGTTTCTATTTTACTTAATATATGTGGGGTTTTGTGTCAGCATTGCTAGTGTGGGTTCTCTGCTGTTCACTTGTGTTCCTTTGGTGGTGAGAGAGGTTGGGGTTGGCCTAGGGTGTGGCTGTTCATTTGTGGTTGGCTGTGGTGGTCTTTGTTTTCATGTATGAGTGGGGTGGGTGGGTGTTTTGGATCAGGTTAGCCATATTGATTTGTATGCTGTTGGTGGATTTTTATCGTTGTCTTGCTGGGCTGTGTATGTGATAAAGGGGAGCAATACCGGGATGAAGGCGTCTTCTTCTATTTGTCCCCGTGTCAGTTGGTTACTTTTTCTAGTATGTCTGTTTCCCATACTATTTGGTAGCATTGGTCCATGCTTACTCCTGACAGGTCTCTCCAGTGTCTGGTTATGATGTTTCTGGCTGCTGAAAGTAGGTGGGTTATGAATTCTTTGTGGTGTAGATATGTATTATTGTCTTGGAAGATGTTTAAGGTAAAGGTAAAGGTACCCCTGCCCGTACGGGCCAGTCTTGACAGACTCTAGGGTTGTGCGCTCATCTCACTCTAGAGGCCGGGAGCCAGCGCTGTCCGCAGACACTTCCGGGTCACATGGCCAGCGTGACGAAGCTGCTTCGGCAAACTGGCACCAGAGCAGCACACGGAAACGCCGTTTACCTTCCTGCTTTACAGCGGTACCTATTTATCTACTTGCACATAATGGTGCTTTCGAACTGCTAGGTGGGCAGGAGCTGGGACCGAACGGCGGGAGCTCACCCCTCCGCGGGGATTCGAACCGCCGACCATGCGATCGGCAAGTCCTAGGCACTGAGGTTTTACCCACAGTGCCACCCGCGTCCCAAGGAAGATGTTTAGTAGAGCCAATTCTGGGGTGATTTCTAATGCTTGCTGTCAGGGAACTGACATCGGAGACACGGGAGAAGGAGAGGGTCTCAGACTCTGCAGGTGAAGGTCCTAGCACTAGGGGGAGACTCAGCTCGGTGGAAGGGGAAGGTAATACGCGTTACACCAAGAAGTCAGGAGA